AACTCTCTATATTATTTTCAAAATTGGGAATTTTCTCTCTATATTATTAAACAAATTTCTGATATTTTATGATTTTATGAAACTAAATTATGGATTTTTAAGATTTTGTAGAAATGTAGACTTTTGTGTTTTCGATCTTTTTAAAATTTAATCTTATAGATTAATATTTTCACAAAATTTCTAAATTTTTAGTATAAATCCAACAGATATCAAAGTATAAAATTTTTTTCACTTAGTTAAATGATGATCAATTAAACTTTCGTCTTGATGTCATTGCACCTTTATTTCATCTGCAACGTAAAAGCATATTTCAATTTTATATCTATAATCAATTTATTATGTGTTTATGTATAAGAATCATTTAATCCATTCCATTTTAATCCCCCTAACATAAATCCCCGAAATGTTGATGGACACTGACATTTATTGGTGTCACAATTGTGCGTTTTGCTGTTTTGCCTTTATGACGCACGCTAATAAAAGATAAATGAAAAAAATGGGGGATATTTATCTACATCCATTTAGTGATCGGTCGAGTTACCTGGAGGGTATACTCGCGCCAGTGGAGCGTTACTTGAAAAACACCCTGTAGACATAGCAGACATGGCCACTGCTGGGTTATCAACCGATCGGGAGTAAATCTCTCGACCACTGTCAGGCAACGTTCGACAGGCACGATAGCGAATTAACTCCGAAATAAATGGTGCCTCCTAGGAGGTTCCATTCACAAAATTTCTCTCTAGCGACACGGCCGCGCTGAGAGAATCTTTCAAGAATCAAAATCGACTGTACGAGATCTTGCAATCAAAAGATGCAATATTTATATATGATATTATATTTTTTATACTTTTAACAAATTAATTTTATAAGCTTCATGATATTATTTTGTAATAACTCGCTTTTATTACCATAATTTAAGTTTGTATCAAATTTAATTTAAAAATTTGAAGAAGTAAAACATTTCAGGAATTTTTTAATTTTTGTTCAAAGTTTTAAAAATTGTATTAATAAAATTAAAATTGTATAAATATTTTTATATAAAAAAACATATCAAAAATTTAAAAAATTATAAAAATTATAAAAAGTATAAAAATTTAAGAATTAATTAAAAGAAAGATTTATCGAAGATCTATAATTTGAAAATAAATGTTGTCAAAATTAGCTTTCAAAGTTGCAAAGTTTGAAATATCGAATATTTCAAACTATCTATTCAGAAATTCGAGATGCACTTTGTAGTTTTAAGCGAATAGACCTCGGTCTATTAGAGACACAACATGTCCATTCTTCGCGAAAAGCTCATGAATATTGCACCAGTCAGTGGGGAGGAGAGAAAAAAGCTTCAATTTGCATCAGCCGCCATTCTTCAGCTCCTTTGAATTCCGTCGCTATAGCGACTTTTGTCCAGATCGTGCCACAATGGCCACTATCTTCTCTTCCCCCGACCGGCTCGCCTGCCTCTTCCTGGAGAGAAACTCGGTGCAAACAAAGAATCCTCCCTACGCCCTCTCGGGAGAGAAAAGGGTTAAAAAGGCGAAAAAGGTCGATACACGAATAAGCGATGCGCCGGTTGGATAATCCGAGAAAAAAGACCGCGAAACGTGAACTCGCACTGTGGCGAACCATCGCCCACCCCGTCCCTACCCATCGGAGATAGAAGTATGTACAGGGTGGATCTTCGGAAACCCACTAGATTTAAGAATTTAGATAGTACTTTTTAAAAAGTACTACTTTTAAATATCAATTACACGTATTGGAGTGTAGAATTTTATGAAATTATTATATGTTAATGTTTTAATTACAGATATAATACATAAAGGTTAAAAAGGTGTTTAACCTTAGCACGATACGTACTGTGTTTACTCAGTGGTAGTTTACTCAGTGCAACACGGACGAAAAATAATTATGACAATTTTATAATATTGATCTATAAAATAGATGAGAAATGTAGAGTGCACTCAAAAAAAAAAAAAATAATTAAACGGTTTAATTATCCACGAATGCTGCGGCGATTACTTAAATGTACAAGTATATAATTAACTGCGCTAACTGCAATGAATTAATTGAACGCTACGCGCGCATCGTTAAAAGCCGATAGCGCAAAATACGACGACCACGAAGGACGTATATCTGCGGCATGTTTAATGCATTCGCATTCAACGACATGCAAAATGATACTGCGACGAATATCAGATTTGTTTAAGGAGAATATCATTATCGCGTATTCTCGCGTATGTTAATGCGTTAGATTTTCCAGGCATAAACGGTGCCATAATCGGTAACTCCAAATGACAAGTGTCTCATGATTATTCGTAACATCAATCATCATATCATTATGCCATTTGACGCTCAAAAAAAATTGGATGCGAATCGTAAGCCGCCGACAGCTGGAACATAAACATTTATGAGGTATTTCGAGATAATTCATTTAGTTCTAAATTTTACATTGCAAATTTTTATTTTTAAAATTTAATGACATCAATAATACTATTTCAATAATATTAATAACAGTATTCTAACAAATTATTAAATGATTATTATTATTATTATATAAATAGATTATTAAACCTAAAAAGATCTACGTATTTGATAAATTAAATTAATCTAGTTTCAATTTAGCATTTTGCAAAACAAAAATTTGTTTTGTACATTCAATTTGGTTCTCTCAATTCGATTAATCGCCGCGCGCCCCTTCAATCGCGGTATCGTTCGAAGGTTGGACTCTTCGAAGGTCCACGCTATCTCGGAAGTGGATCCCGGAGGAGATCGAGTCTGGCGAGTGATTCGTTTAAATGCCGAGTCCGCTTCCTTTCCGACCTCTCAACGAGGATCCTCCCGATGAGGATTTACTAGTCGAGGATCACGCTCGATCACGTAACTTTTGCGAATATTTGAGATCTTGGGGGGAACGAGAAAAAGGGTGGTCTTGGTCCCGCGAAGGGTGTAGAAGGACGGAGGGGAACGACGAGGCGAACAAGGCGAGCGGCGTGACCACGGTGGCCAATGAGAGTCCCGCGCGAGGAGACATCGGGATCGAATCAGTTTATGCGCGACAGGTTTCTGGAGAGAGATAGGGACGAGGAAAGAGAGAACGGGAAAACGACGAAGGAAAGAGGGTACGAGCAGAAGAGATAGAGGGAAGCAGGGGGAGGGAAGGGAAGAGCGTGAGTGAGAAGGCGAGGCGAGGGGCCAACCAGACCCGTACACTTTGCCAACTCTCCGACCTTCTGGTTCGCCGCCATGGAGAGGCATTATTTACAACGAAGTCCCTGGTAGACAATGCCGGGAGTCGCGGCCATCTTTCGTTCCTTTTCTGTTCTCTATACAGACAGCATCTGCCGCGGCCGTTCCTTCAGGAAGCGCTACCACCCCCCCCCGTCCCTCCTCCTCCTCCTCCTCCTCTCTCGCTCTTTATCTTCTTTTTTTTACTATAAACAGAGAAGTACTACATATTTTCAACAAAAAA